TCGCGTTGGACGGCCGGCACCGCACGACCAGACAGCATTTGTAACAATGTTGTGCAAGAAGTATGGTGTAGCCCGTATATCGCAAATGCGAGATACGCGACCCTTTCATATGCTTTGTGGAAGGCTGACAACGGCCGTAAAACTGGATTCCAGCTCGAGGTACTCGGGAAGCAGCCAAAGGGGCGTCCGAAAGAGCGATGGCTTGACACGTTGCATACCGATTTGAACATAGCTGGTATTCACATCGACCTGCCAAATGGGACAGCTGGCGTCGTTATATCACAGAGCGGATCCCGCCATCTAGTGAGCTAAACGCTGAAGAAGAAGAAGAGAGTCCTCTCCTTCACCCCTAGAACAATTTCACTGCCGAATTGAGTTTCTGGAAAAAACTTCGCATTGTCGCTCAGTTGGTATCGGGCTATACAGCGACCAATCCTATATTTAATGCGTCGTCATAAACTTGACCTACTCGCCCAATTGTATTTTAGATGAGAAATGTCTGAAGTTGAATTAAAAGTCTTCATCAGAAGGAAGACTAATAATTCCGTTTCAAAGGGAAGCAGGCCCACGAACCCCTACCTTTGGAACGAAACCAATACCATTTTTCCATAGTCTCACTGCCATTCTGGCCCTCAGCAGAGCCCTTATGCCAAAACTACAATCGCAGCCACCTTTAACCACCCAGAAATCATTAAATAGGTCGTTGCAGCACTTTCAATCTGCATATTCGCAATCACCATTCGAGACTCTGTCCATGTTCCTAGGTCACTATTCATAGTTGCATGGGAGTTCCAAACCATTCCCTTGTGAGCACGTACAGTGTCCCTCCTTTAATTGCTCATTCTGCTGTTGCGCCGTTCATATGAAAGGGGTGTTATGTAGCGCGTTTGTGACAGTGACGGTGCAAGCCACGCCGGATGGCGCTGTTCTCGTATGATTTACGCCAGCTTTATAGAGGGCATGGCGAGCTGCCTGTTGGAAGCAAGCAAGCAAGAGTAGACCATAACGTCCTGTCCAAAGCTCTCTGTCGTACGGTAACATTATGTTTGTGCATTCTTCTCGTAATTTTAGATAAAATTCTGATCATCATCCAGAGTGACACGGAGAATCATACTTTTATGAGTGCTCTAGCTGACTAGCCTAAGGCAGCGAAGCCGATCCAATTCTCGCATGGTAAAGTGGTACGATCAAGATACGAATCATCCGGTACGTTGATAGGTGGCGATGGTGGCCATTCGCGCCTTTATTAAGCTGGCTGATCAGCAATTAGAAGGACTCGCGTAGCTCCAGCCCTCCTCAGCATGCATTACCGCATAAACTTCCCTTCTGTTATGAATCACCAAGTGAGTGCCGGGTCCGGCTGATTTTGCAGCGATGTAATTTGGCATGCTACTTCACCGCGCCGTCAATTTTAAACGAGAAGAAGCTAAAGGAGAAAACTCTCTCTGGACGGACCCAAAATATTGTCGTTCGTCTTCTGAGAGCTACTGGTTTTCTCTGTGCTGGTGATGATGGATCTGATGCAAAGAGCAGAACTTTAACATCGAAAACCTGCCGGAATCCTCGTTGCTCGACGGCGCATTTCCTAGCGGTCGATCCTCATTCCGTTTCAAAGCAAACACGAGGGCCGAAGACGAGGACATCTTTTGAATTCCCAAGCCAGCAATAAATATAGATATCTCTCCGCTTCCATCCGCCTTTGATGCTGCAATTCGACTATACCCGCGCTCTTCCAGGACAAAGAGAAGGAACCAATCTGTCTGCGGTTGAGGGAGAAATCGAACAAAGCTCCGAGATTCTGCTCGGGCGATTTTAATTGAGAATACAACGCTTTTCAGGCGCCCTCGCTAAGTGAAGATCAGAAGACAGCGTGGCTGTATATGTATTGCCGAAAAAAGTATCATCAGAAAAAAAAGCTGTCTCTATCTCAACAGCCAGCTCCGCTCTAGAAAAAGCCGCTCCGTTTAAGTTTCAGCGGCTATTCGTGCCCAAAATGCTCAGCATGCTCAGCATTTTGGGCACGAATAGCCGCAGAAACTTAAACACATGTTAACTGTTACTTAACTTGAACCCATGTTTTTTTGACGTTCCACATTAGAGCATCTTCTAGAGATCACTTCAATTAGAGGAAAACTCTTGCCCGGATTTCACGTAAATATTTTTGGCTGCAAATGGCTGAGGCGATTTCTGCTCTGATGCGAGCTTGCGAGGGAAGTCAGAGAAAACCACCAAACACCATGAGTCAGGAACATTTCATTCCACTAGCAAATGTAGCGATCTTTGATAAGGTATACGTTGACCTCATTGGCCTCTTCATACCTCGGAAGACGGTAACAGTACACTCGAAATCCCTGAGATGAGGTAGGCGTGGCTGCGTACTTCAACTAAACGTCGTGGTGGCTGTGCTCTTGGAAAGACATTTTCATTTTGACCCAAATGTGGTCACGTCTTTTTCCAACAAAGAACAAGATGGCGGTTGTCTGAAATTTAAATATCCCACGAGTAACCAGTTCCGTGCCATGTTCGAATGCCACGCCTACCCCGTCTCAGGGATAAAGAGATTATATCGTCGCTATGATTGACCACTTTTCCAAGTATGTGATCTCCTTGTTTGCACGGGGCTACGGCATGACAAACCATCATTTCAGAATGCATTTCGAAATTCGGCGTAATGACCCAACCTACTTCAAACATTGCTCCTCATTCAATGGAGGAATGATGTCGGAGCTAGGGCGCTTCCTACGAAATTACAGGTGATTCTGCACTCTATTTAACCATGAAGGGAACTGGGCGTGCAATTTTCGCACCGCTAAATTCCATGTTACCAACATCAACTCAACATGAATGCAATCAGTTAAGCTGGTACAGATGTGTCTCCGTATGGCATTCATGTATTATAACACTTTGGTTCATACCAGCATCAATGATAAACCCTTTTTCCTGTTTGGTCGCGAACCTGTGTTCAAAATAAACCTGATGGTTAAGCATGACTTAGAGCATCACTTTCCCTCTTATGAAAATTCAGGACTTTGCATTTGAAATTCGTTTGCCACCCTGCACGCCGCCGTCGAATCAGCGTCATTCAATGAAAGTTAACGTGAGAGCTCTAACGATCTTTTGCACGCATCCTGCTCTCGTTTCTATTGAGGAAGGTGATCGAGGCCCAATGTGAAGCCACCCCAGGAACTCTCTCACCTCTGAATGGAAAATGCCGAGTCATCAAAGTGGAAACGAGTCATCAAAGTGGAACCCTCTTATTTGACCATCGTCTCTATGCGAGCTATCAGTGGGACTTAAAATGATCCACATAGGCCGAGTGAAGCGATGCCACCTCCTAGGCCCTGTTTTCACCACCCCTTGGGTGCCCGAAGCAGAACAATTAGCGCTCGCATGCTCATGCTTCTGATGAATCGATCTTGGATTGTTAGTAGCAGTGGTTGAAACACCACCTGTGCAACTCATAATAATAAGCCACTCTTATATACACTCGTTTTAGATGTCCTCAAATGTCCGCCTGACATATTGTCCATTAACTAAGAACACAAACGTACATTCACTACATTTATTTCTTCTCTATACTCTTGATTTTTTTTCTCTCTCTTGCCAATCTCGTACACAGCTGGCTGTTTTTGTTGATAACGATGCCGATTGTCATTTCTCGTCATGTCATCTTGATCGCTTTATAACAGCTAATGCGCCCATTTTCTGTATTTGAAAGCCCATTCATGACCCAAGCTATTCAGTTTCCCACTTTATTCTGCTCCTCACTAAGCTTTTACAGCTTGTGTTCGCATACTTTGCTACCTTTACCGCGTACTCATGGTTACTGTGGTCTTTTCGGGTAATTGTGAGAACGCTTTTGCGTTCGTTACTCTCACTATTACGGCTGACCGCTCTCCATCTGCAAACCATCCGGCCGTCGAGGTAACGAGTCAAGTGTTGCATTTCAAACTGCACGTCGGAAATGTTCGATCCGCTTGTTCTGCTGTTAAGACTGAGCCTCTGTGAGCACAACAGAGCTTACCGGCAACGGTTCTTCTTATGTTTGTATCGGTCCTGCAGAATCGACTTCTACTGTTCCAGATGCTTTGCGACTCTTTCAGAACAGACGTCTCTGCTCCGAACGCTGTCATTGCAGGACACTCCGTACTGTAGGCCTCTCTTTCCGTATAATAGCTCCTTCCTCTAGCACGTCGTAGCGTAAGTTTCGCATCGAGCAGCAACTCTCACCCAAAGGGAGTGACCGAATGGGTAACATGGTCGCTTCCTTGGAGCAGCTGTCGGTCGACGCTGCAAACCATCCAGCACCTGCGCAAGCCACAGGTCTCACATCATTTACAGGCCCTTCCAATGAAGGTGA